GGATCACTAATTAAAAGACAGTATTTTTCATGTTCCAGCTATGCCTGTTGGTCCCTAAATTAACTGCGAAGGGTTTTCTATAACTTATACCGTGAATTCCCTAGATTCTTGGAATGATAAAATTAAATTAATTTTAGTAGTTATTCAGTAATATGAGAGTGAGAATATTTTGCTGCCTGGTATTAATTAAAGAAAAAACTACAAAATTGTTAGCTGAGCGGTTAACAAATGCAGACGTGCTTTTTCATCCTTTTCCATTTTGTTAACTATTTTTTTTTTGCTTAAAAGAATGAATATTATCTATATACGCTTCAGTTTATTATTTATATTTATTTTTAAACTTCTAAACTTTTGAAATAATATAAAACATTCAAAAATCATCGCCAATGTTTAAGAACTAATTCTGATTCATAATTGTAGTTGTTATAACAGAGCAAAATGTCTATCATTTTGTGTTAATTTCGAAACTTCAAGCCCAAAAAATATATGTGTAACAAATATTCATTTCTCACCTTAGGTTTAACATTTATCTGGTTTCTTTGAATATGAAAGAAAACAAAAAGATGTCTTACCTAAATTTCATTCAGAAACAAGCAGTCAACTAGGTTATTTTTTATATATTCAGCATCAATACAATATTGCAAAGCCTGAAGCAAATTTGAGATTGGTTAAATCAATCTTTTAATAATATTTGATATGAAATATTATGAAAAAAAAATCTTGTTTGGATTACAGAATAATTCACGTCTTGTCATTGATAGAAGGAAGTAAGCTAAATTAGTCATCATCCGAAAGCGTATCCAATCATAATAAAATATGGACTTTGTTCATCAGATCTCTAAACCAGATTAATAAATAAAAAATAATAATTAATATAAAACCCAAAATTGAAAATATAAATCACTGTATTACAATATTTTGTGAATGAATGAACGCATAAATATTAATGAAATTCTCCAACGCGTCGCTTTTCTTTATCATGAATAAAGAGGTCGTCATTTTCTTCAATGTTAAATCTTCATATTGTTTATTATTGTATATTAAGCGCTGATACTTTGACATCGGTGTTCTATTTAACGAGCATGCTCTAATTTGCATACAGGATGTGATATTTTTTATGCAATATACAAAGCACATAACTAATATACATAAATACAAATTATATATATATTATATATATATATATATATATACTAGATGACCCTACAGACGTTGTCCTGTACTCTCGTCTACAATCCAAAAACTCCAACAACTTTTAATATCCCAAACTGTACTTTATAATATTCTGTATTTTATGATATTGAATTAATTTGTCATATCCTGTTCATATGAACACTATTCAATATACGATCAACTAACTAAATATTCCATATCCAATGCCAAACAAATGCATTTTTTACACAATGTATGTGTGAATTCAATTTTTCGGGAGCATGGATCAATCGATTGGAATGATTCAAAGAACATTCGATAAAACTTTTAAATAATTTTTCGACTTCTAAATCATTTTTCGCAATGTCGCATTTGGGACGACCTGGTATCAAGTATTAGCATGTAAAAATTTGTTCTCAAGTAAAAGTAGCCCATCTTGATATTGCTGCCTTATGTTAAATATTTATCATCACTTTTCAAGAAATTCTAACATACAATCTAGAACAACCATTGAGTTTCTTTCTAAAACAAAAATATTTCCTGTTAATAAGTATCATTACAACATCTCATAAAATAGGTGTAACTGACATTTTGCTTTAAGGAGAGTTGCATGAACTTCTCGATACGAGTAAATATATTTTGACTTAATCAATTTTGCTTTGCTTCCATCAAAAACTAACTAATGCGATTTTTATAGATATCTTTCAATCTTTTTAATATCTGCAACTATATTTTTATAATGCACGAACATGTGCTTGTATTGTCTAAAAGCGCGGCATATTATTCCAAACATTAATGAATTTTTATAAAAAAAAAAACACTTTCTACGCCATAATATTATAATATTGTAGAATATTCTTTTACAGTCTAAACTTTCGACAATGAACTATATCTATATACAAAAATACAATAAAATAGCTAAAAAAAAATAATAATTTATTAATTAATTATAACTATAAGGCTTGACGACCAAAAATAAATTAGCGTTATTTCTAATATTTTTTTAAATATTTCTTCATTATAGTAAATCCTAAATATATTCTTGTTGATATATGAAATATTGTTATGAACTTTCTTGTTCTACTTTTTAAATCAGTGTTATCAATTATTTTGTATATTAATGAATTGATATTTACATCTTAATCAATATCGGACTTTGCTCGTCCATATATGACATAGTAAGGAAGCTTGTGGACGGTAAATTTTAGTGTATTCTTCAGATTTTGTGGAGATCTAAAGGACTGAATTATTTTTTTAAATTTTTTTTAGGAATTAATTTTATTCAATGTTATAGTTTATATAATTAATTAAGAATGAAATTATTTCTGTTGTCAATTGGATTGGACGAATTTAAAATTTGGAAGCAAAGAAATAAGTGAAAGGAGACGAAAATATTGTTAATTAAATTGTTACTGGAGTATTTGTTGGATATGAATTTAAAACTCGTAAAATGTAAAAATAGTGTCATTCTTAACGAATCGCTAAATGGAATAGTTTATGTATTAAAAATTTTGTTAGAATACTTCGTAACCAAGTTTAAACCCCGCGTATCGTGCAACCTGATATCAAATAGTAGTAGTATTCATTTCCACTTGAAAATGTTGATTAAAAGAGTGCTCAATATGGAATGAAAAAAAAAACAGGCTGGAGCAGTAATTAACTTGTGTCTGGTCTAGGAGGCGGTTGAAGCCATATTGAAAAAGTCGAATAGTTTTTGATAAAAATTAATGTTACCTACAGAAAAATGCATGGGAGAGTATGGAATATTGTGTTTGTGGCAAAAGCTTGGCAAGAAGAAAATTATATGTATTGCCTTTTTTCGAGCTTTAACATTTTAATGAACCCCGGTAGCAAACTGTATAAATCGAGTTTGAACTATGTTAAATTTGAATAATATTTAGATATTAGTAAGATGTCCATACGTCTCAATTTGGCCGGGACAGTCCCGGATTTCGACCTTGTGTCCCGGCTTTCTCTGAAAGCAAAATTTGACCCGGATTTGAATCATCTATCCCGGATTGTCCCGGATTTTTGAAAAGTATTGGTTTAAACTTAATTTTTGCAATTATGTACTTGATAAAATAATTAATCCGGGACAGATGATTCAAATCCGGGACAAATTTTTGCTATTCCTCGAATTTTGTAAACGAAATATTAAAAATTTTAATAATAATGCTAAAATCATTGAATATATCTATATTTCTTTTTCATCCAGCGCGTCGATTGCCAATGCATAGAGAATTATTATTTATTCATAAGTATGTCAACAGGCGGCATTTCCATTAAATATATTTATCTGCAGTCAAACATCATAATTATCATTTAAATATATAATAGTGTCGATAAAGACCTACATATGCAACAGCAAATGCATATTAATCAACTTGTATGTAGTAAACTATATTATATTGCTGCTCTTCAGTTTTTAGAACCAATATGACCAGAACATGAAAATTACGATAAATTTGTACAACTATTAATTATATTTTTAGTGTTACATACTCATAAATATTAAAAAATTTAAAGGTCAAATTTGAAGGTCTCCAATAAGAGCCTTACAAATTTTCTTGAGATATGATTTGTAAAATAGTTGTATATTAAATGTTGTTTATATAGGTAGTACGTGCATATGTATGCATATTGCACATATGCATATTGACATATAGATATTATGCATCTGCCAAAAAAATTAAATATCATAAAAAAGTATGATTATTTGGCGAAGAAAATGAGCCTCAAAGGAGATATTTAAAAAAAACTGGTTTTTGACGCCATTTTTCCAATATGGCGGCAACTTGCTGAAAAATTTGAGATGGCAAAGTTGAAATCCGTAAAGAGCGCCTCGAAATGTATAAGATTACCAATTTTCAGAATTTCCGGAGTACAGTAATAGCATTTTTTTACACCAAATGACTCGTATAAAACTTCTATTTATGGAAGTTAAATAATATAAAAACAGCAAAAAACTCCAGAATAAACTAGTTGTAGTAGTGAATTAAATTTATTCTTTACCATTGCTTTAGCAAATAAATTTCAATCAATTTAAATTAATAAGTAAATAAATATTAATATTAATTCAAGATTATTTCTTTACAGGTTTTGAAACTGGAAGGACACGAAGTAAACATTTCCCAATAAAAGAAAGTGCAAATGAAAAATAAGAAAAGCAATTTTACACTATCATATTCAAATAAATAGCAATAGAATTTATTTATTCATGTAATTCAAGGAAATTACATTTATAAATATATACAAAAATAACACAATATAGAACGACGAACTTAATCGAAAAATACGAAAAATAGCATTTATTTATATATCCCAATATTGAATTATTGATCAAATATTAATAGCAATAAATTAAATATAATATATTGTACCAAATAAATAAGCAAGGAAATTATATGGAAATTAAACCAAAATTTTATTATAAAATCAGACGTGATACAATTACATAAGTCTAAAAATTTAAAAATAAGATTAATATAATATATAATGAAATTATTTGCCTAAAATCAAGTGCAGTTTTTCTTAGAATAAAATTGATATATTTTAGTGCTTGTGGTTCTGGAAAAAAATTACACTAAAACTCTAAATTGTATATAACTAAAAAGCAATTATTGAAAAAAATTATATAAGAATTAATTTATTAAAATTTGGGAATGTTGATTAAAGTTCTGAAGTGGAATATATAGTTATTAATTTATATCCTTGCCAAATTGTTAAAATATTGTTGAATTAATTGACAAATAGTCATTAAGTCAGGATATAAATATATTACTGACAAATATTTGAAAAGACAAAAATATCGAGACAATTCTTTCCAAAGAAACTATTAATTTTGTACGAAAAAATATAAATATAACAAAATAAGTCCTAAAAAAATCTAAAAAAAAAATTCTTGGATTAAAACGCTGGGTCTATTACCTCAATGATGGCCAAGAATTGCGATGGACGATCTTGCTGATCAAATCGACGATTTCATTTGTAGTTTTGAAGGAGCAGGAGATCTAACAATGGATACAATAGCCATGTTGATATTTTGCTGGTCCCTAGTTGCCTTGTTCCTAGTCTGGCTAGGAAAATTTGTCTATCACAGATTTGTGAAAAAGACGCCAATTGGTGCCACTGAGGATGCTAAGACTAAAGATGCAATTGCTAAGAAAACAGATGGTGACAAAGTTGGTGAAACACAATTAGAGAATGGAGGAGTTGGAGCGGTGGCAGTGCCATCTGTGGAAAGCAAAATTGAAGCCAAGGTTGTGCAGAAAAAGAAATCAGGTAATTGAATTATTTATATTAATTATTAGAATTATTATTATTATATGTAAATGTCTTAAAATCTAATATCTCAGGATGTCTTTACCTCAAATTTCATATAGTACGGACAAAGTGGTTCTTATAAAGGGTTGCTTTTTTCCTTAAAAATATTTTCTTTTAGTTCCAACTTAATTTAAAAACTGTTACTGGTACTCAATTAATCTAACTTGAATAAAAACTATTGAAGTTTTTTATAGCCTTATTAATAAACTTAAGGCAAATTGCTGGAACTTCCCGTATCGTAATTTCGACATAAACATTCGAGAAATGAAAATAATCAATAATTGTTTTGAATAATTTCAAATAGATTTTTTATTATAAATACATTCCGTAATTTTATAAGTGCTTTTAAAATTAGGCAACGAACTATTCTACAAACAACTTTTATAAGAAATTTGTTTATTTTTTTTTTATATTTGATTTTTTTTTTGATAATTTAGACTTTTTTTTAAAATCTTGAAATGTTTTTTAGAAGTTTGAAATTTTTTGGAATTTGTTTAAAAAATTGTTTTTCTTAATTTTTTGAGAATTTAAAAATTTTTGAAAATATTCGATTTTTATTCAAATTTTGAAATATTCTCAAATTTTTGTAAGAGATCGTTTTTTTTATTTTGATATTTTTTGAAAATTTTCAAAAATTTTTTTTTCTGAAAATGATGAAATTTCGAAAATTTGAATTTTTTGAAAATCTTTATTTTTTTTCATTTTCGATTTTTTGCGATTACTATAACTTACCCTACTGGAAGTTAATAAATATAATAAAAAATCAAAACACGATGCCATTTTGTCTGTACTTTCTCTAATAAAATTTTGAGTTTTACTCAAACAAAATAGTTCTTCATCTCAGCCAATGAAAATAAAGTTCCAAATCTCTAAACGATTTTAAGACATTATACTGTATTTTTCAATTTAAATAATTATTATCCTGATAAATATAAAAAATGTATTGTGTTATTATAATTATTGAAATGCTCTAAAGTTTTTTAATTAATTCGAATAGCGAGTGGTGTTTTAACACCAACTGTGTAGCAAATTTGCATTTGAACGATTTAGGTCTGTTTTTCCTATATTATGGTGGTTTTAGTATTCAGGTTAATTGCTTAACATTTACAAATACTACTTTCTATGTAATGGCTCTTGAATTTTTAAAATTAGTGCGCGCTTTGCCAAGAAAATACTACCCCACGAATGGAAAAATATTCTTGTTTCAAGATAAAATAGTAGTTTTTGGGCTTCCAATTTTCATAAACCATAGCAATATAAAATAATGGGTGGTACTGCACCAGGTCAGGCCCGTGAGCAGAGTTATGCTCCGATTCGATTCAGGAAAAAATAGTGTGATAGATTTCCTATTACCATTTCTAACGCAGTGCCCAAAAATGGGCTTATTTTCATTTGGAAACATATTTTTTGATTTATATTTTCAAGTGAAAATGGACATCGTTGCTGCCTGATGTCAGGATGCCGAAGTGCGGTCTCGAACAACGCAACCTCGCCACACAAAGCATCGCATGCTAGCCCTTTACATATTGCAATATGTCCATAATTTCATCAAACATAATTTTTGTAACCAAGATTTTTTTGGATCAATTCATAGAAGTATACAATTGTAATTGCGTATATAATTATGATGTCGATAAGTTTCAATATGATCTATTTCTTGAATGAAAATATGTAAAAAATTTAAAAGAAGCGTTCTTTAAAATTTATAAAAACATATAAGAAATCATTCATAATTTTATTCAATAAAATAATAATATAATTGATATATATTCATATTGTTCAGACTATTTATTTATATTCTCCTAATCAGAGTGGTTTTTTCTCATTTGCGTGTTATTTGTTGTTCAACGATAATCCAATCAATGTTTGCATAATATTTACAAGTAGTTCGAAAATATTTATATTATAAATATGCAGCTACTATCTAGTAATTTATGGCGATTAATATTTTACAAGTATCTTTAATAAAAAAAAATGTAATGCAATATAAAAAAGTAAATCAACATAATACCAACTGTTCTCTTTCAATGTTTCAAAGCTTTTCAATGAGTCTAGATTGAATTTTGGATGTTAATGTTAGAGATAAAGAATTTCTTTAAATAATTACAGATATCTAAAACAATATGAACGATTCTTATTCTCATTAGCAATGAGAGTTTTCTCTACAAGGACTTTTTTCTTATTTCTTATTAATAACAATCAGAACATCAATTACATTCTATGACTTATTATGATTTACATTAATTAAATATAATTATAAAAAGTAGTTACCTCAGTGGGTAATTACTATAATAGATACAATTTATTGGGTCAAGTTAATAGACCATATTTTTTGTCTTTTTAATTCTGTAAGAATCTTCTGAAATATTCTATATTTGTATATGGAGTAACGAGTAAATTGGGGTGATTTTCTAATTTGTGATGATGATTATCACAGGCCAACAAAGAAAATGGTGCAAACGATTTTAATGCTTTAAGTATTTTTGGGGCGCTGATTTCATAATGACATTGTTTTTTTTCTATGAACTTTAGTTTTCAAGATATGATATATATGATATATAAGGAATGAAAGTAAAAAATAGTAATACAATTCAGAATTTTATTTGAATGAGACATACCTACTCGTACATACAAAATTACAAGACCCATTCGGCCTTAGTTGGGACATTAGTTGACACTGTGAAAAGTTCTTTTCCGTGACGACCTAGAATGGATCTGGTTTCGGCATTTTTTTTCCAAGTTCCAAACTAGAACTGATACCAAAAAATGGTTTGCAGATTTGAAATCAGCGCAAAAAATACTATAAGGATCAGCTCTAACATTTGATGCGCCAAACAAAAAAAAAAAATTGTAGGCCTGTGTTAGTGGATCTTGTTTTTTATTTATAGGGTTTCAGATCATCATGTAGAGTTTTATTGCCACGTTTGATTTGCTGGAGCAGCCCCAAAAATCTATTCCTTATAACCAGATAGAAACTATTATCGTTTTATAAATCAAGATTTTGTTTTCAAGTGCTAATTTTGCATTATCTCTGATAAGCCCATAAAGTTCCCTAACTCTAATAATGGCTACTAAATCTTCCATATGTTTTCAAGAAAATATTTTATTTATAGCATATAGTCTTTCTGTTTAGATTATTTAATATACTATTGCATATAATAATGAATTCAATGATAATTGAACCAGATAGAGAATATTACAGAATATTTCACTAAATATAACTGTATGGGAATTGATTACGGTAAACTGTTATCAATGGACGTTGTTTAAATAGTGGCTTTTGAATCTGTAAATTTGAAGTTTACGTTTTCAAGAAAATTTTAAACTGCGAAATGCCATGCCAGAGTATGTCCTGATCTATCAATTGCGGCGAATGGAACATACTACCAATAAAAATATTTTTTTTCTGATTTCTTTTCAAGAAACTCAACAAAATATCATTATTTTTTATACATTTGATAATAACAGTTGAGTACAGCGCAACAATCTTTTCTCGCCACGGTGCAAAAAATGTTGGGAACCTCTGCCTTAAGATAACAAACTCTCCACCGCTTATAAAATGTAATCCAAAATACTCATTGAAACACAAATTTTAAATTGAGTTGTAAAAAAATATATTATGTAATCTTCCAAAATAAATTTTCAATTCTTCATTTGTGAAATTTTTGGATATTTTCATTGCCTTACTATATAATAAAATATTTTCTAATTATGATTACTACAATCGAATCTTATTATCTAGGTTACGTTCCACCCACTCCTCCGACCCGCAAGCGCCTCAGTAGAAAATCTCCGGGTCCGGAGTTGAGAAAATCGTCTTCCGCCAGCCACCTGACGCCCCCGCCTTCGTGCGCTGGTCCGCATGCGGCAAGTGTGCGCTGGGTTAACGAACTATTCCATTGGCTCTATGCCGACCAAGTCATTTCTGGTGAAGTGCTGCAGCAATGGCTAGCAGTTGTAAATGAGCAAGGAGTTAAAGGAGGATTGGAGGAGGTGAGTGATAAAAAAGATATATTTGATGTTATAAGTTTTTGAATTTGCTAAAACTTATAATTTTGATAAAATGTTAGTCAAGTCAAAATGTAGTTTTATGATGAGTAGCAGAATTCATTAAATATAACATTGGTTCGAATAATTATCTGGTGATTCTGATTTAAAACATCAGATACAAGCAATAGAATTCATTCTAATATTGTGATATGATATTTAATTAGTTTTAGATCTTTGTTGCACTTATGTTTGATTTTTATGAAAAGTATTCAAAATTCTATATTGAGTACTATCGATACTTTCGCCACGATATTTTTTTGACGTCGATATTTTGATTAGATACTTTTCAAAGTACTCAATATCGATCTTTTGTCTCGATACTTCTAACACTATATATAGGGCGTTCGAGAATTTTCAAAGTCAAGCCGAAACGGGGTAATAGTCTTAATCGTAATAATCTTGAAAAATTAGTAGAGAAAAATTTATCTCACCTTGTTTGTAAATTATAAGCTTTTAATATGCATCCTAGAGCTTTCGTAAAATTGTGACAATTTTTCGGTTATTGTTGTTAATTTTTTATCACCGCAGTCAAAAATAATGATACAATTTCCTCATTTTTAACTAACCACACCCCAACAAGGCGCCTAAAGAAGAAATGGCCTGAAGACTTAATTACTTAAAATAAATTATAGCCTTAGATAATTATCTACTACTACTAGGGGATAATCTCTCAATGAAGAAGATTCTTACTTGACATTATAATTCATAACAATGACTGATAGAAAACGGTTGTTTTTTCTGATTGTCAAGAATCAATAAAAAAATTCTCCATTTTTCAACAAAAATTTTTATTGTACTATGAATTTATTTTATTTTTTTAATCGGTCGACTTTGAAAGACCCTCCTTTAGAAAAAGGTTCTATAATCTGCCTTGGCAAGTTTTATAAAAAGTTCGCGAATTTATTCAGGCTTGCAAAATGGTAAAATACTTGATATTATTATTAAGAAAATTTTAGTGAAAAAATAAAAATATAAAAATGACACAGTAACGGCTAACGTATTTCGCTCACATTCAATTCAAATTTTCTCGCACATTGTAGATGGTGGGGCTACTATTAATCAGGTGGGCAAATTCTAAGGATTTGTGGACCCCTCTCTTCCTTTGCGATACGTGATGATATTTAAAATTGCCCCCCCCCCCCCGCCATCACCACACAATATTGTGTATTTTTAGTACCTAGAAAAAATCGTAAAATTTTTGAACGTTAAAAAATAAATATACGTGATATCTTACTCATCTTATACTTATTTATTTATGATCTTACTAACCTTCCCCCCCTCCCCTTCGTGATATTTCGTGTGTAATAAACATTTGATCTGATGATGGTGATTTTATACGTGTAATAATAAACATTTGATCTGATTGTGAGTAAAATGTATTTCCAGAAATAATGTCAAAATTAGGTTTTTATTTTTTTACTCAAAAAAATTTATAATGAAACTATCAAGTATTTTACTATTTTACAATCCCCTGATTAAATGCGCCAACTTTTGTTGAAACTTGCCAACAGTACATTTTTTTAAAGGGTTTCTCTAAGTCGACTCTAATTTATAGAGCAAAAAATCCCAACTAAAAAAAATATGGTGCCTATATACTTATTATCCAATAACATAAAATTGTAAAGTTGATTGATAAAGTGTATATGACTAACGTACTTGTATACAAAGTCGAAAAAAACAAATTAAAAAAAAGTCGGCCAATTTAAAAAAAATAAATTTTTACTTCAACTAAATGTCTTAATTTTTAAACACTTAAGACAATTGTGTCATTATTTTTGACTGCAGATTATGAATCCATGGTTATAATGAACAAAAGAAATAAAAACTAACAAAAATAATCGAAAAATTAGCACAATTTCACCGGAGTTCTAGATTGAACTTTAAAGCTCATAATTTTCAAACAACGTGGGGTAATTTTTTTTTAGGACAGTTATGGTCAATACCATCACCGTTTTTAGCTTGACATTAAGTTCCGGGACACCCTGTAATAAAAATTTACTATAGCAAATCAGCTAATTATTATTCTTTTAAACCACGATTTTCATAAGTGACAACAAATTGTGATAGTTGCACTTATGATAATATAAACGTAAAGTCGAACTAATGTTATATTTTATATTTGTACCATTTGGAGGTTAGATTTTAGAAGTTAATATTGGGAAAAACACTTGATCAAACACCAAAGACTTAGCTTTTGCACAGTTTGTGGCTTCCAACTATTGCCATTTCTCAACAGAAGAGACCAGTAAAATACATAGCTTTATTATCCAGAAAATGGACCCTTAAATTTTTCCATGGTATGCCCGCAGTTTTACAATATTATTATTTGAGGAAAATTAATAATTAACACTTACAAAAATCGTTGTTAGATTTGCGTGCATTGTAAATTTATATATCAAGAAAAGCGTTCTATACCTATTATGTTTTTCATTACTATCAACATTTATTATAAATTAGTCAAGCGCGTAATATTAAATATTTCTCCCTCGAGGAATGGCTTTGTATTTAGCTTGTAACTTATGAAGGGGTGTATTTGCGTGCTGAACTCACATAGGGGTGTCACTATTAACATTTTTCATTAAATCAATAATTTTAAGCGTAAAATATAGAGGGAAAGGTTACCCCTGAAACTTAATCAATAAGTATATTCCATTAATCTTTCACACTTGGAAACCGAAAGTCTCATTCAATATAGTTTAATAACAATTGTTACTTTACTGCTGATTTATTTACTACTGCGTATTAAAAATATAAATTAATTGTTGAATCAGTATGACGTATGAGTCAACATTAACATTTTTCTTTAAATTAATATAAGTTTTCAATGTGAAATAAGCGTAAGGGGAAAGGCTACCCCTAGAACTAAATTCGTGAATTAGACTTACTCCTTTAAAAAATTGCTAGGCGATTTAAAAAAAAAACTACTCTGAAAAACATATTAGATTTATAAGAATAATCACTCAACTGTTGATAAACATATAAATATAGTATCACTTATTCCATTAATATTTTAGTTTGTGCTATTTGAAATCGTCAGAAAGACAATCTATTTAGTTTGTGTAGTAACAATTGTTACTTCACTACTGCCGATTAAATAAATAAATTAAATATTCAATCTTCAGATATATTGTTTGGAAGAATGGTAGCTTGCAAGTAAATTTAGGGTGGTATTCTAGTCTAGAAGTTTTAAGAAATCGATTTTTATTTTATATTTCCAGGCTTTAACTATTCAAGAATATGTGTACAACAGGTTTTTCAAAATTTAAATTATTTTTGGAGATGAAGCATAATAATCCTCCACTGTTTCCTTCCTTTATGAAACTTTAAACGATTTTTTTCACGAAACTGTCTTTTTCGAAACGATACCCACCATTTCTCAACTTTTACTGTACCCTTTACTTGAAATTTTTACAAAGTTTCTTATAGACTTCTTATAGAATTCTGCTCATCCCCAAATTTCAAATTTTACTGTTTTTAAAAAAATCAAGAATATAAAAAAGTTGTAATTTCTTTTAGTCGCTATTTTGTGAAATAATGTTCTTTAATCATTCTTTTTATTGAATTATTTGGTGGGCTAATGATCACGTGCCAGTATTCAGATTCCCTACTTCATCATCTGCTAGAATAATAACTTTTTGATTGTTTTTAATTTTAAATTTGTTCTGTACTCTTAAAAACATTATGATTAATAACTTACTATTAGGGGAGCGTCCATTAATCACGCAAGGATTTTTGGAGCTCCCTTTCTCTTATTATTAGTGATACTTAAAGTTACTCCCCTTCCCCCACCAATCATCAGGTGTATTTTCAGTACCTGAACCTAAACTTTTGGAAATTTTTTGATATATTAATTTATATAAATTAATTGCTACAAATATTAGCAATTAGATATATTAGTTCTTTTTCTTCTTGTTCTAGTTGTAGCAAATGTCTTAGAAACTTATGTATGACACCGATCACATCATATTGTCATATTCTCTACTTTCTTGAATCGGACGTGCAATACAATAAGTGAAATTACTAAACTGTTACTTTTACGACTATATACCAGTCCTGAATGCGTTTCAAATTGCCTATTTTTTTTAATAAATAGGTACATTGACGATTGATTCAAAGTAATTTATAATCCCGTTGTGCACAAACTCTTCCAGCATAGTGAGAATGAGTTCTAATCCATTATCTAGCTTCAAATCCATCATCAATCAAAAGGAATGAAAAAATTATTTCGTATTAAATAGGTCGTGACAATACAGTTACTTTGTTTCGCATGTGCGCATTTGCAATAGAAAATAATTATTCACTTCGAAAAGAATTTGTTGATTACTTTTTTTATTTTTATTAGTATACATTTTTTGCAATATACTCACCATGCCTGAAGCTCTTGGTTTTCTCATAGATGGACGATTATATTCCTCATTGAAGACAGGTATCAATTGCTAACTTGAGTGAGAAATTAATTAAATTATCTAAATATTAAATGATCACTTTGGAAATTAAAATGAGCTTTCTGTCTAGCAGTTATAATTCAACTTGATATCAATATGCTATATCCAACTAGGTGTACTTATTAGTCTCAAATTACACTTCTTAAAACAATCCACCAAATCAAATAAATTTTCTTATTATCTCATATATGAGTCGTGTTAATATTAATTAAACATTCAGTGTGAATCGATATTCATTTTTAAATAACTTAAATCTTATTTATAACATATGCTCACATATGTGTTTCACTAATTTTAATTTTTGATATTCAAAAGAATATAACTTCAACCCTGTTCCATTTTTATTCAAATTTACAGCAATACAGCAAAATCAATGTCAGTTATTTTGAGAACTTCTTGGGAAATTCTAAAATTCCTTTATACTAGAAAATTCTTTTAAAATAATTTGAATATAATATTAATACCTGAACTATTTTCACTGCTGACATAAATGATCTCTCCTAATTTTGTATGTCGACTAATTAAATAACTTCATTCAAATAAACATTGAAGTTTTAGAACAAATAATTTCATAAGTAAATATTTTTATAATAAATAATATACAATATATATATATATATATATATATAATACAAGTAAATAAGACACATTTTGATATTTATCATATTTTATTTCCTGAAAATTATCTACAAAAAATTGTAGTGTATGTGAATGTCGAAATGCAAATTGTCTTCAAAATTATTTAAAAAAATTTTAAACTCAAATACAAATTTAATGTAATTTTTAAAAATATATAATAAAACCAAAGTAATTGCTAAAGGTATTAAATAAATTTACTGTACCATTTTACTGACTAACTGCAAATGAAAAATAATATTACGTGGCATTCAAAATATAGCGTTTAGTAGTTTAATAAATGTTACAGAAATAATATTACAATTGCTTTGGTAGCAAATTTATAATACTGACTACACCTTTACCTCAGCTTCAGTCTCCATTTGTTCCTCGAACATCGATCAACCTAGGAATGCTTGATCCTATTATCGACAAATGCAAACACAAAGACCAAACAGTTTATTTACAACTCTAAAATGCTCATGTGAATGTATTCAAACATAACATTACATTGATGAAAAATTAGACAACAAATGATTCTATGAAGCATTAATTACTGTAATTTTCAACACATATCCACTAACTTCCGTCCCAAAGTTGATGTGTATTTCTATATGTATATTAGTCAATGATATATACAATTCAAAACCAAAATATCAAACTGTTATTTAAAGTGCAGAAAGAAAACATGATCACATATTATAATATAATAAAAATCCCATTATTATAAAGGAGTAATTTTATGTTTATTACTTATTTTAACTACATACAAGATACAATGCAAGAATGTAGTTAGGTTATTTAAACGATACAAATGAAATTAAAGACATTTAAACAAAAACTATATAATACTTTTCGTACAATACTTAACATACATGTACTTCATATGTCATGTATATTTATATAAATACATACACAATATATATATATTATATATATATATATATATATATATTTAAGCATATAGAATTTGTAATATACACATAGCTACCATATTTCTTAAAAAAAAAGTATATATACATATCAAATATACAAATTATATGTACGTATGTATGTATGTATATATATAAGTATACAAAAAGGCATTCACAATTTAAACGAAAACTAAAATCTACAAATTATAAATTAGGTTTTTAAAACAAAACATCAAAAGCAACTGATTTGTGCATTTGAATTTATACTGCACATGTAAATCAGCTGTTTCTTTTGCTAATCTATTTAAAATCAGTCATTAATCATTCTGTTTCATTGATCTCGAGATTCTAAAATCGTTTTTTTTTATTTCATAGAAAAATATGATAATTTATAAAATGGAATTTTCAAAATCACAATGAGTTCGCGCCTACTTCCAAATATACTCGAATTGTATGAAAACTAGCGCTGCCATCTGTGGCGACCGTGTTGAAGTCGGCCGACAAACGAATCAAAATACATGTCGGCCAACGTGAACCAACGAAACAAGCAAGTTCGACGCTAAATCACTTAACCACTAATGAGATTCGACCTTATTAATAATAATACTGCTCTACAAATACAGAAGCATTTATAATAATTACCAATAAGTACACTATGCGTATATAAATATATCTCTATCTATCTATCACCTATGCTAGAATATAATGCGCTTATTGCTTTTTTGAAAACTTACTTTAAAAATAACTCCAAACTTGTAATCATACACACATTAATTATACGAGTATTGTTAAAGATATGTATGGTTATATAAGTATAAAGGAAGATAAGTAGATAAGTAAAGGTTACAACTAAAATGATACATACAACTAATTAAATGCGTACAAATTACATTATATATGGCAACAATCGAAATGACGTGAAAGGTTTAAATATGTACATGTCCAATGTTATTATATACATTTTCGGTTATTAGTAAAAAATATACTCATGTTTACGTGTTTGTGATAATAATAAGCATACTATGGAATGAGTAATGCATTCAGTTAAAAACTCATTGGCGATTTTCGTCATTTATCTCAGTACATCATTTATATAAATAATATTAATAATTACGACAAAAGTCGCCGATGAGTTTCTACCGTTATTGTACCTGAAGTAAGTTTAAGGCGCGGGGACGTACATTGGCAACCCTTGCATAGCTCCCCAGTCTACTCCTTGGAAACTGGACATATTCACTCCCGCCAAATTGAAACCGTGATAAGGATCCTGTGTCGGGGGTGCACTGGCACCAACATTAGGGCTGGCGGGTAAAGCGTATGGGGCATATCGGAGACTTGATAAAGATGGGGGCATAGCACCGTATGGGGCTCCGACCAAGGCTTGCATGTGCGTAGCTCCCATCAGAGCCATAGGACTGATTCCCGGTGGGGCCCACATCAATGGTGCTGCAGCATGTGCTAGCTTGATATCTTGTACTTGTTTCGTTATTGGCTGAGGCACGGGAGATAAATTTTCTTTTTTCATAGCCTTTTTGCACTCGACTTTTTTATTCTTGATCGTGTGGAAGTGATTTCACACACGCGGTCTACAACATCGTCGTTGTCGAAGGTCACGAAACCGAAACCTCTGTGCCTTTTGGTCTGATGGTCCATCAAGAGCACAGTTTCTGTAACTCTGCCGAATTGCATGAAGTAGCCTTCGACTTCTTCCTTGCTAGTTTCCTGGCTGACGCCGCCGATGAAAATTTTATTACTCCTCTCGGACAATCCGGTTGGTGAGGCCCGTTTCGGGGCTTGAGTTTTAATTTTTGCGAACTTGGGGTCGACTTTCTTGCCGTCAATGGCATGTACGGGGACCTTGAAGATGTTGCTCACCGTGACGGGGTCGGCGAACGTGACAAAGCCGAAGCCTCGGCTACGCTGCGTGTTGGTGTCCTTGACTATGACTGCCTCGGTCACAGTACC